CACAAAATTAACCAACAAAATTAACCTAAAATAAATACCTAACCTAAAGCATTTACCAATTACCAATTACCACAAAATTAACCTAAAATACTACTATATATATGAAGTTGGAAATTAGAAATTTAGAATCTTTACCCAAGAGCCAAGAGGCAAAGTCGGTCTCGGTCAGTCGGCTAGGCTAGGGTTCCTTTCCTCCGACTCCGGCTCAGGCGCAGCGATGAAGATTGAAGATTGAAACATAGACGACAGGCGCTGAGGCGCAGGCGCAGGCGATGAAGATTGAAGAAGAACTCGCAGGCGCAGGCGATGAAGATTGAAGAAGAAGTCTAGAAGAGAAGAAGTGAGAGTGAGGTCTGGAAGACTGGAACTCTGGTTTAGTTGGTCGCATAGCAATTAGCAGGTAGCACCGTGCACCGCAGAGGGGCCTCTTGCCTCATATGGTTGGGGGCCCAAATACATTTAATTAAAAAATACATGTAATTTTTTTTTGGGCTTTCATGTGTAATATTTATTGGGGGCCTAGGACCCCTACCCTCTCAAGCTACATCCGCCACTGCTTGCAACCTATTGCTTTTCTATTATTAGGTAATTCCATGATAAATCAGGTACCATTCCTATGTAAAGCCTCCATCTCGTAATTTATGGCATTTACCCATTTTTGATCATTAGAAGCATCTTTAAAGGACTTGGCTCAACAGATTTATTTAAATTTGAGACAAAACAGAAATTTTCGGCAGACAGACAAGAGTAATTAACAACTTTTTCTATTCCATATTTGACTTTACCCTCTATGATAAAATCATCAAATTTCCGAGGAAAACTACTAGTTCTAGCAGAACGTCTAACAGTTTGAGTTTGGGAGGAATCACCCTCAGAGATATGACCTAAAGAATCATCATTTGTATTTTCGCTAATCCCTCCAATTGTATGAACAGCATCACGAGAGTGTCTGGCAACCATGCTAGGACTGCCAACTGGTAACTCTTCTGTCAAGATCATTTTCTAGAGAAGAATCTTGACTGTATTGAATTTCAGAGCTGCCTAGAGATTGCATATTGTCAGTCCTAGATAGGCTACCTAGATCACTACGGTTACTTGTTCTAGATTCAGACAAATGATTAATATCATCATGAGTAGGTCCGCTATTCTCATCATTGGGCCCCAGAACATCAAAATTATTAGAAGAACTAGACAAAGTATCAAAGAAATTAAGGCTGTTAACACCTTCAGTATTTAACAAATCAGTATCATCATTACTCATCTTGAAAGGAAAAATACTTTCATAAAACTTGACGTCTCTGGAAAAAAACAGTTTCTTAGTGTCAAGATTATAAAGTCTATAACCTTTTTTAGAATTTGCATACCCCAACATAACACACTTTTCAGATTTTGGAGAAAACTGATGTTAGGAATTAAAGCAAAACAGAGACACCCAAAATTTCTCAGATGAGTAAGAACTGGGGGAAAACCATAAACCAGATCATATGGACTCTTACCATTTAGGACAGAAGTGTGGGTTCTATTTATTAGATACGTGGCAGTTAAGACACACTCATTCCACATGTTAAGCGGGATCCCAGCCTGAAACATGAGAGCCCTAGCCACATTAAGCAAGTGTCTATATTTTCGTTCAACAACCCCATTCTGCTGAGGTGTATAAACACACAAAGTTTGATGCAAAATTCCTTTGGACTAAAAAAAATTCAGTTAATCTTTGGTTAACAAATTCAATGACATTATCAGTCTTACAGATTTTAACAGATTTGCCAAACTGAGTTTTCAAAAAATTATAGAAACTTTTGAATGCTTGAAGATTTATTATAAAGAACATAGTAAACGAAGTACATAAGAAATAGAATACAACTTACTTGTAAAATATCTACTATTGCTTAACCAAGAACTAGAAGAATCCTATTGCTAACTGTTAACAAACTAATGAGAATATAGAAAAATGAGAGAGAATATGACTGATTGTTGATTGGTAAAAGTGAAAGTGAGCTCCAAATGAGCCGTATTGCTCATTTATATATCTTCCAAAGATTGACAGAATTTCCCCTTCAAGTTTCAAAGATGTGCTCCGCTACCCTCATACTATCTTCAAAAGTGAGGCGTAGTCCTCCTCTTTTGTCAAACCAGCTATACTTTTAGAACTTGACACAATCTACCCTATTATGTTAACAAGGTAACAAACAAGGACATAAAGTCAAGTTAGATAAAGTTAAGATTGCAATTTATATGAGTATTTTAACAGAGCAGTTGTAAACCTTGCTAAGCCAACGTTTATATAGCGATGATAGAGATCTAGGAGGAATTTATGGAGGAGTAAAAAGCCCCCTTGACATCTATTCATCTGCAAATAATTCTCGATGTGAAAACACAGAGACAAAGGGTTGAGCAATCTTTTACTCTATCAAAGCGGCGGATTAGTAAATCCATTTTTTTATTCCCGTGGAAGTCCACATTTTGGCCTAATCTTCTTCCATAATGGTACGGCACAATAGTATTAATGAGATAGATACACAAATCACTTTAAATAGAAGAAGTCGAGCATTTATAGCACAAACCTTTACTCTAAAGCTGCATTATAATGTGGCATAGTTTGGAGCTTATCTTATGTGTTTAAACATCCAGAGATGGACAAAGGACCAATTAGCTCCATGAACGTGTCATTCCATGCTATAATAAATTATACCTGGATTATATGTTGCATGATTTGGTAAGTAATTTGTTGCATGTAGAAGTGGGGGTCAATATTTTAAAAGGGCATGAAAGTCACTATAGTCTATATTACATGAGTTTCATACAAAGTTCTGTTAAAAATTTATTCATGCCATTTTGGCCCATTATGGAGGAAAATATGAAAACAAATTGTTGAATATTTTTTGTTTTTGGATTTGGAAAAATGTGTTGTTGCACATTGGCTTGTGCGTGTACCATAAGACTATAATAGTTCGTCCAGAGTAATTTTGGCAAGTATTCTTGTGCGGTCGATCTTGTTTGGGTCGAAGATAGGTGTTTACCGTTAGATCACTTGTGAATGGCATCGGCAAGTTGTTATGCATGACTATCCGATGCGGAGTGACGTGTCATTTATGCATGTATGTGTTATGAATTTTCCACGTGTGTCAAGTTTTCAAATCTAAAATTTTATTATGTCGTGGAGTCGACATGCTAGAAACTTTAAGAAACAAATCATAGAGTAAAGTATAATGAACCAAGAGAAGATAAAAAAATACATGGTTGGTGAAAATCACCAAAATAGATGACATGGTCTATACCTGTTATTGACAATGTGAATGAAATAAAAATCCTCTTATGACTACGGAGGTTCAAATCCGATGATTCCAGACTATCTGCAAGGCAGATGGTCGTCCTGGATTAATCAGCTCTCAATAACGAGATGGATATCCTCTTTAATAAAAAAAATGTGAATGAAATAGATGACATGGTCTATACCTGTTATTGACCTTCGGTTCGCTGGTTATTCCCTTTGAAAGGGATCGTCGTTTGCAGTATCGGAAGTTAACCGGAGGCGGCAGAAAGTCAACCCACCGGAATAAACAATTACCAACAAAGAAAACTTAAAAAAATGGCTTCGCTTTCTCTTTCACCTAACCCTGATTGCCGAATCAATGCTACCATTTTCTCCCCTCGGATGCAGTTGCCCCGTCGTGTTGTTGTCGTTTCAGGTGTTTCTGGCATCCATTTGCCCGCAAAAAGTTCCTTATCAGCGTCACTGGAGAAGAATCGGAAAAACAAAGTAGCCGTCGTCCGGATGTCATCAATGTCTCCTGCTTTGCACTCATATGATGTCGTTGTAGTTGGCGCTGGAATAATTGGATTGAGTATCGCCCGACAGCTTCTAATTGGATCGGAGTTGTCTGTCGCCGTGGTTGACGCTGCCGTCCCTTGTTCCGGTGCTACTGGTGCAGGTGCATCAACTCCTCCATGATTTATGGAATCAAATCATATATTTTTAAGCGTTTTTGATTTTATACATTTGTTTTTCTGCTTTCTGATATTGTTGGTCGTCAATAAATACGGATCTATTAGTAGAATTTGGTTCAATTATTACAGTCAAGAGTACTTATTACAGTCAAGAGCACTTATTACAGTAAAGAGTCAACTCACTGAGCTTGGAATGAGCTGCTTGTTTTTAGAATTTTCATAGAAATAAAACATTTAAGAATCTGCAGTTTCAATTTTCATTATCAAATGAATATGATAACCCTAAACATCCACCGCACCGATTCACACAAACTGGAAATTTAATTGCTTCAATTGTTGTAGCTTTTGTGGAAGACTAGCTGAATGATTCCCAAAGTTTCTATAAAAGTTTTATGCTACTTTTTCCAATTTCCAATTCCATGGTAACTTTGCTTCATTATTTAATGTCATTTCCTTTATTACGATTTCACATGATCACACTGTTTTTGAATTTTTTTTATTTAAATAACCAGTAATGACGATAATGCGGTGATGGAGTTGGGATGTTAAGCATTTCGAATACTGTGGTTGGGAAACTTATAGAAAGAATGATATGAATTTAAGTGCATGTTGGAATAACAATGTCTTAGCCACAGAGTTTCTTCCTAACACGTAATTCACTGTAGGATCTCATCATCCTTCTGTGTGTCATTTGCATTGGTTTTAGGACAGGGCTATATATGGATGGTACATAAGGTTCCAGGAAGTGAGAAATGGGAGTTAGCAATGAGAAGCCGTGAACTGTGGGAGAAGTTTGCAGAGGATATTAAGCATCAGGGAATGGATCCTCAAGAGGTTCTTGGCTGGAGGAAGACAGGTATAAAATACATATTAAGTTCATGCTGCAAATAAATTCTTTTTTATTTTTCTTCTATCTTTCTATTCCTTTCACTTTCACTTTCATATCAATTTTGTTTTTCTGTTTGTTCCTTTTCCTTAGTTTTGAATACATAAATACATGTATATTTGCATCCAAATATATGTTTATCAGCCAGAATTCTATTTCTAGTGAAAGTGAACTATTCTTATCTGGAAGCTAGTGTTTCGTTGAGCCGAAGGAAATCAACTTTACTGCTTTGATTAATGACATGATATCATCTTGCCTGAACACTTGATTTAGTATATCAGTTGATATCTGAATGCAGCCAACTGATCGACTTAACCACATTCCTTCATCCTAGAATGCATTATAATCTACTGTAGTTTCCAGATAAAAATTTCAACATTTCCCACCTGTTGCTGCTGTTTATTAGCTTTCAGCATGAATCGTCATTCCTTCCTTGGTCTTTACCAGTACATCTTTGACCACAAATACAGTGTAAGAGGGCATGAGGCCCCATATAAGATATACTTGATGTCTGAACCTGAATCTTACAAACATTTCTTATTTATTACCTTCATGACCTGTTTGTTTGACACCATAAAAGTCCTGCAAGTTCACATCATGTAGATAACCTTAAGCTGAGGCTGAGGGGTCAACTGATATGAATTGTTACTATTTTATGTAATAAGAGGTTCCAGATAGAGAAATGATAGCATCGTGAATGCATAATATGTATTATGTGCTGATCAGGTGTGATTTATGAAGTTTCAGATGAAAAACATTTTCTCTTAACGAGTGTAAGAGGAAATTCTGAGACTTGGATTGATCATGTCTCTGATCACCAGAAGTTAAATTAGTATAACAAAAAGATTAACCAAACTGCCCATCAATACTGTAAGAATTTAGAAGTTGGAGAAATAAAATCCTTTTTCTACTCCTTTTATTACAAGAAAATTGTGTCATTTTCTTTGATGGGAACTTTTCTAGCTACAATTACTTTCGTGCTCATTGTTGATATAACTGGGAAATAAATTCATTAAGATCTACGACCTCCCCTATTTTTTTCATTATTGAAGGCATTTGACCACTTGTGAGTTGAACAATGCAATTTTCACGGAACAGAATGACAACTTGCTTTTCTCTTACATGGCAATATGTGCGTCTTTCATTAAGAATTATATGACCTCAGATCTGACAGAAGCTTACATCGATTATTTGATGTCAGATTGAGTTTAATGGAAATGCTAAAATATGTTTATTGCGAAGTGTTTGGAGGAAAAATCTTGATTAATTTAGTTACTTATGTTCCCTCTTATATTCCACTCATTCTAATTTTTGCCAAGGAAATACAGGTTAAGGTCACTAATATAAAGAGACTGGTATTCATATAAACAGGAAGCTTGTTGGTTGGTAAAACCTCGCAGGATATGGCAGCACTGAAAGGGAAGGTAGATCAGCTATCTAAAGCTGGGCTCAAGGCAGAGCTCTTATCTAGCATTGATTTGATGGAAGTAGAACCTGCACTTGTGATTGGAGAAGAAGGTTGTGCAGCCTTTCTACCAGATGATTACCAACTGGATGCTCGCCGTTCAGTTGCATATATTGAAAAGGTACTCAAAACTTCGTTATGTCAAACTGTCAATATCGCTTCACATACTCACTTACATGAAGTTAAACATTGCTCAACAAATGCTTAGTGCAGTTCAATTACTAAAATATCACTGAGAATGTGCTGCAGGAGAACAGGAAGTATGCAATTGAAGGAAGATATGGGGAGTATTATAATCAGCCGGTGACTGGTTGGTTAAGGTAACATGGTAAATGTTTTGCTGATGTTAAGTTGAGGAACTTGTATCTATAAAAGGGTAAAGGCTTTCTTGTTGCATTTGACAACTCTTTTTTAGGTCTGGTGATGGGAAGATTGAAGCTGTTCAGACTTCGAAAAATTTGTTGTATAGCAAGAAGGCCATAATAATTGCCACTGGATGCTGGACAGGGTCTTTGATGCAAGACCTAACTAGGGATTTGGATATTGAATTGCATGTCCCTGTAAAGCCTCGAAAGGTTAGAATGAAACTCAGATTTTCACAGAACTGCAGCTATGAATTTTCCATCTGTACAGCAAATTTCACTATAAGATCTTTTATTATATTTGTGGGGTCTGATAGAAAAATATGTCTATATCTTGTAGAATGAACTCTGCCTTGGAAATTGGAAAAGAAATGTTCTTTAAAGTCGAAGGATACATTTAATGGATTTTCTTCTTCATTACCAACAGGGTCACCTCCTAGTAATAGAGAATTTCAATTCCTTCAAAATGAATCATGGTCTAATGGAGGTAGGCTACATTGGTCATCAAGATGCAACTTTGCAACCCAGTAATCTAGATTCTGGAGTTGATCATCATTCTGAAACTTCATCTATTTCAATGACTGCCACAATGGATTCACTGGGAAATCTTGTACTCGGTAAGTCTTTGTTCCCTCTTCATCTTTCAGTAGCCAGCTTCAATCAATTTCTGATATCATTTTTTGTTCTATGAATTTATTAATCATTCAGCTTTCAATTTTAAGTTTAGATTAGAGGATGGATTGAGAATCAATTGAAGAATGTAAAGATGATGAACACAATTTGGGGAAAAGCCAGCCATTTTCTTGTATTGTTCAGCTTGTATTGATTTTAAGATAATGACAAAACTAATCCCTAGACTATGCATAAATACACACACACACACACACACACACACACATATATATATATACATATATAATCTAACAAGATTTATTTGTAGCAGGAAGTAGCCGGCAGTTTGTTGGGTTCAGCACAGAAATAGACAAGCACATCATTAATCGGATATGGGAGCGCGCACGGGAGTTCTTTCCTTCTTTAAGGGAATTGTCACTAACAGAATTGGAGAAAAGCAGAGAAGTCAGAGTTGGACTGAGACCCTTCAGTAAGATGCACTGTGATTTGGCTGAAGATTAAAGTTATTGGACCTGCACGGCAACCATAAGGTTGTAATATTATGAATTGATTTACTAGTCTGATATATTATGCTGGTTTCAGTGCCTGATGGAAAGCCTATGATTGGACCTGTTCCTGGATTGTCAAATGTATTCCTTGCTGCAGGCCATGAGGGAGAAGGATTGACTTTGGTATGTTTTCAGTACTCTCAAGGACTCGCTGTTAGTTAGTACAATATATCTTGAAAGGTTAAAAAACTCTCATCAACTTTTCTCATTTCTACAAGTTGATTTTAGTAGATTGCGTTATTTGGCTTTGTATTTTTTTGAAACATAAAGAAAGGGGTTGATTTTCCCAAACTTCCCACATAAAGAAAGGAGTGATCAACTTGTTTTTTTTTTTTTTTTTTTTTTTTGCAAATAAACCATATTCTTGTAAAAATGAAAAGTAACACTATGTTTTACAAGAGTGAAAATTTTTGACAGAAATGCCAAGTATAATAATTCCTTTTACATTTATATTATCATAAGTTGTCTAGAACTGCTCATTCTCATAATGCTCATTTGAGAAGTTAATCAATGAAAAACAAATGGATTTTGTTGTACAAATTACTATTTCTTTGAGATCTGCTCATTTGAAAATTTCTACAGATTCACGTAAATCATTTTGCACTAGTTCTTTTTGCTAACAAAAATAGTGAAATGTATACTATGTAATATCTTTCCGGTCTTCAACAGGCCCTTGGAACTGCTGAAATGGTTGCTGATATGGTTTTGTGCAATCCCAGCAAAGTTGACAAGGCACCCTACGCACTACACGGTCATTGTTCTTGATAGCAGGTGAAACTGGAGATCTCTTGACCTGAAGTTGTTATCCAATATTCATCATACTTGAAGCCATCTTATGATAGAGGGTGGTTGGGGGAAGGATTGGTACCTTTTGATAGAAATAAGTAGTTTCAAAGTACTTTTTAGTTATGTAGGCTCTTGGCTTTCTGTTTTAGTTCTGTCTTCAAAAGAATTTATATTTTTTCCAAAATCCATGGCTTATAGTTGTGCTTTCCATATATTTTACTAAACGTTTGTTGCAAGTCAGTGGTCTTCTTGGAAACAACCTCTCTATCTTTTGGGACAGAGATAACGTCTGTGCACATCTACCCCCAGAACCTACCTCCGTTGGGATATATAGAGTTTGTTTGGTTTGTTTTTTTTTCCTTTGCCCTCCATCAGTTCCTGTTCTTTTTATCTTTTTCGGTGTTTTGAATTTCTTCAGTTTCTCATTATGCGCATGATAGGTATACATGCAGCGGAAGTCTTTATCTTTTATTATAGCCCATTTTAATGAAGCAAATTCATATCATATTTTGTCTTTGTAACAGCTAAACTGCGGTCGCAAACTTTGAATTGTGCTGACAAGAAGACCCGATCTTCCTTATGGTTCACAGAAATAAAGTAAGCTACTGCAGCCTCCAGGTATGTTCTAAGTGACATAGATCACCTGCAGAAATGTGAACCCTTAGAATACCATAACGACACTCTGATTATGGCTGTCATGAGATATCTCATTGTTCGTGTGTGATTGCTTCTTCTGAATTTTCATGGGAATTTCAGTTGTACATGTCAACTTGTGTTAGGATAGTTTGATGATTGGAAGCTATATCTTGTAAAATAGTTCCGAAAGCTAATTAAAAATCGAGCCGCTTGTTCCATATTTTTTTGCGCTTTCCTGCTCTTGAAGCTTTCATCTGCTATGTTAAAATTACGCATTTTCCTTAATCTTATAAACTGGTCTCGCCTTCATAACATAGCAAACTTCTAGGGTTTAAACAAACGATCTTCTAGCGTTGTTATTTGAAAGAACTTTGTAATGTCTCTCAACCATATGCAGTAGATTGATGAGTTTGTTCTAAAGGTTATATTCGAGTTTATACCCGTTCATTAGTATGATTGTTGATATATAAAAGATGGAAAGGATGTTATGAATCATGTTATCTTCTATGATTTTCTTGCCACAAAGATTGAGACGTACAAGACACGACATTTCTTTGTTGAAATCAGTCACCTTCTTGTAATTGTGTAAGTGAGTTTCATTCCAGTATATGATTAGTTTGGGAAGTACTTGGTAATTAATATTCTCGATTTTTCTTTTTGGGACGTTCTACGATTCTTGGGGGGTTTTAATTGACGGTCCCTGTGAAAGTTGTGACTGATGTATCATCTAAAAAGTTTGAAGGTATTTATTTGTACATTAAAAGTTGATTTTTAGGGTCAATAGAGTGTGATGGTTTTTACATATTTGATTGTGTTTTTCCAAACCTATCTTATGGTGGTATTCAAGTCCTTCCGAGTCCAAGATGTCGTAAATAATATACAATTAATGATTTTCTAAAACAATGAATTATGGATCATAATCATGCATGAAATTTCATCATCATAACAATGTTGGATTTTTATATGTTTACACTTTCATGATAATACTTCATCAATATTTCAATTTTCGGAAACAAACCACTCAATCTATTGGATCTCTTGGTAGCAGGGAATCACATGGATTACTTAACTCCTACAAACCTTAACACTATTTGTATTCATTTGACAAAATCCTTTTGATATCTTGCTATTTATTTGGTCCAAAAATCTGATTATAACATTAATAGTTATAAAGTTTTTGGCATGTGACAAAAAATTTGAGTTCATAATTTAACCCCTTAAAAGAATTTTAGGAGCTTTAGAGAAAATGTCAAAAGATATGAGAATTGAAAATGTAATTTTCAAAATTTAATTATGAGATTATAAATTAAGATAAAACATTTAAATACTATGGGGGTGTTTGGTTCGCATATTTTGAAGGAATATGATGGAATTGGAATGTTGAATTCCATTGATCAAATTTCATTACTTTGTTTGATTCATTCTTTTTCAAGAAAGGAATCTTCCAAATCTTAGAAATTTCACAAATAAATGAATTTTAACATTCATTGACAACTACATGATATTTCGATGACATGATATTCTTTATTTTTTATAATACCAAATATGTTTTTAACCCAATATACCCTAATCTCATAAAACCCAACATGACCATCGTCGAACACCTTCGACCACCGTCGATCTGAATCACCGCTAACCACCGCTATCTGAACCACTATCGACCACCGTCATCTAAGCCATCATCGACTACCACCGATCTGATTCACCGGCGACCACCACCGATCCGAACTACCGCTAATCTGAACCACTGTCGACAACCGCCGAAATGAACCATCGTCGATCACCGCCATCCGAACCACCATGGACCATTATCGATCTGAACCATTACCGACCACAGGCGACTACCACCAATCTGAATCACAGCTTGACATCACCGACCACCAACGATTTGAACAACCGTCGCCACCACTGATCTGAACCACCGCGGACCACAATCGATCTGAACCACTGCCGACCATCGTCATCTGAACCATTACAGACCACCACCGATCTGAACCACCGCCGACCACTGTTGATTTAGTAACGTCGTTTGGCTTATGGTTATATTTGGTTGTGTATTTTATATTGTTTACATACTAAATAATTGTTTTATTAAAGTATTCTTAGTTTTGAAAAAATAAAATTTTCAAAAAAAGGCATTTTGGCCATTTACCAATTTCATTTCATTTCAATCCAACAACTACATTCTGTGAACCAAACAGACATATTCTAATTTTTTAACAAATTTCATCCCAATGTCTACCAATCAAACATGTGGTCAAATATGACAACATTTCATTCTAATATCTTCAAAGTCAAATTTCTTTAACATATTTCATTCTATCTAAAAACATTTTGTGAACTAAACGCCACCTTAATTAACTTAATTTTTAAAGATAAAAACATGAGTAAAATGCGTAAAATAGTAACCTACTTTTACAGATTTTCTTATTATATCATTCTACTTTCAGTTTTTCTTATTACAATAATATACTTTTGAAATGTTTTTTATTAAGGCATCACACTTTAAAATTTATACCCGTTATAGCATTGAGTAACTTTTTAAATTAAATTTACTGATTATACCAGGTTTCTTTGCCACCACATCGTCCACGTAGGCTGTCCACATGTACGATAGTATTGCCATGACATTTCTTATTATAACATTGTACTTTCAAGATTATTATAACATCATCAATTTCTATTACAGCATTGTACTTTTAATTTTAATATTTTTATCATTTAAACATTGTAAATTTAATCAAATATGTTTACTAAAAATTATAATAAATATTATTTGAGATTACAGTATCGTTTTTATTTTGTTTTTTGACATATTATAGAAGACAAAAGACTCCCAAATCGATAATTTTTTTAGCATTAACATATCTACAATAATATATCAAATAGTACATGAAATTTAATCTTTTTTGTTTTTTTACCATTATGCAAGCGTTTTCTTAAAGTAAATATTATATTTTTTAAATAAAAAAACACCCTCTCTTGAAACTCTTGCAAATAAATCAAAATAGCTAACATATACAAGCATCATCAATACAATTTAATATTATAATTTTTAGTAAATATATTTGATTAAATTTAGAATGTTTAAATAATAAAAATATTAAAATTAAAGGTATAATGTTGTAATAAAAATAGATGATGTTATAATAATGTAATTTTAAAAGTAAAATGCTATAATAAAAAATATCATGTTGGCACTATGTAACCTATGTGGACGATGCAGTAGCAAAGAAAACTGGTATAATGGTAAATTTAATTTAAAAAGTTACCAAATGCTATAATGGGTAAGTTTTTAAAAGTAGGATACCCTAATAAAAAATATTTTAAAATATATTTTTACAATAAGAAAAACTAATAGTAAAAACACTATAATAAGAAAATTTATAAAAATAGGTTGGTATTTAATGCAATTTATAAAAAAAAGGGAAAAGTCTAAAAAAATCCAATGGACTTTCATGTTTGGAATGATTAAGTTCTTGGACAATTTTTTGGAACAAATAAATCCTTAGGCATTCCAAAACATGTTAAATAACTTTTTGGACTTTCTAAAACCTGTCAGATACATCCTCATGATCTATACAACTGGTTAATGTGGTAAAATAATGAAAAAAGTATGAAAAAACCCAATGAACATTCATATTTTGAACGATTAAGTCCTTAAATATTTTTTGAATAAAAAAATATTTAAATCTATAAAATTAACAAATATAACAAAAAGTACTTACATTTACAAAAAAAAAATTACATTTAAAAAAGATTTTTGATAAAAAGCCAAAAAAGATTTTTGAAAAAAACACTAAAAAAGGCCAATAAACATTATGTTTTTGAGTGATAAAGGACCTAAACATTTTTTGAACCAAAAAAATACTTACATTATATAAAATAAAACAAATATATCAAAAAAAAATACTTACATTTAAAAAATTTATTAATAAAATTTATT